AAAAGTATTTTGTTTATGAATTGCTAGAAACCCAACTTGTGGATTTAATCAGGTGAACTAGTTGCATATTTATGTCTTAATTACTAAAAACTTAACTACTTATTTGCATATTACTATATTTGTCCAATTTATATCTTATATTATAACTCAATAATCGAGTCTCGATTTATTGTTAACTTAAATCTCTAATTCAACCATTATTTCAAATACAAGTGTTAATATCTTATTAAACCCGCATTTAAATGAAAATTAATTCTTACTTTGAGTAATTATATTTTATGTAAGTTTTCTAAGGATCATCTTAAAATCGTAAACTATCTTTTACGTTTAAAAAATAATAACTTTAGGAATCCTTAGTTTAATTATAATTATACTTGTAATTATGCATATACACTTTATATATTTATTATAACTTATAATTTAAGTATTTTAATTATTTTATATTTCAAATTTACATTTTAAAGTTTACATTAGTGAAATATTCAATACATCATTTTTGGTTAATAAACAGCAAATAAAAATAACATTATACAGTTTAGTACTTAAATAAAATAATCTAGAATTGTATTTTTATATTTTACATTTTACTAATAAATATTCGTAGAAAAACTGATTATCGCAAGTTTTCAGTCGCTTTAATACAGAATCGTATTCCTCAACATTTAACAGAATATTCTTATCAATAGACCAGTCGTTATATTTAGCCAACACTTCACTACATTCTGGCCGTGATTTACAATCGGGTGTTGACATCATTGCATTCAATGTTTTATATAAATTAATGAACGCATATTTCAACGCATCGTTTGTACACATAAATGATTGAGATCTAAAAATTAAAAAAAATTAATACAATTACTGCTCAACTCATAAACATAGAGCACTTAATAAAGCATTTATATTATGAGCACATATTATGAGACTAAATTAAAAGTAAAATAGCTGTATTGCAAAATAATTTTTATATACTATTTTAGAAATAAATATAATACAACTAGGTAGGGTAAAATGTAGGTAAAATAATAAAACATACGTTTGTAAATCCACATCAAAAATTTGAGTACCCGTAACCGATAGGCTATATATATCAGCCTTATGGTTGTAATGGCTGGACTGTAGGACCTCAGGGGCCATAAAGGCAGAGGTGCCCAAACCCGTGGTGTGTTTCCCGTCAGTGGCCAACCCATCGTGAACTGTGGCCAAACCAAAATCACATAGTTTGATAAATCTACCATTGCCGCTATTGACCGAGATTAAAATGTTGGCCGGTTTGAGGTCTCGATGGATTACCGCTGGAGTCAATTCGTGGAGGTATTGCACGCATTGGAGCACCTCTTTAAATATTTCGCACGATGTGAAATACTCGTACGAATCCATTGTATTACCGGCCGCTGTTTTGCGGCCAAATGCCAGGCGTTTGTCTCCCAAAACCTTTTCCAGACTCTGCGAGCAGTACTCGGTCTGTATGTATAGGCAATCGTTTTCCTGCCATGAGTTGTAATACGAGACCACGTATTCTGATCGCAAGTTTAGCAAACTTTTTAACTCGTTTAGCATTTTCTCTTTGAATGGTTTGTCTATATGTTGGATAAAATATGCAAATAAGTTACATGATATATAATTGCAATATAATTATCTAATAGAAAATAGGATAATAGAAAAACCACAAACCGGTAAATTGTATTCGTTTGATGGCATATATTCGGTCTTCGAGTCGGTGCCGAACTTTAAACACAGCCCCGTAACCACCTAAACCGACCATGTCCAACTCTTCAAATGTTTTATCGCAATAACTTTCTGTCACCTTTGTCAATTTATCTAGTACATAGCATAAATAGTTACATAATCTCTATTTATTTTCATTTTATTTGGATATTTTTAGTTACCTTCATAAACCTGTAAACTTTTCTCCGTTGCGTAACCGTCAAAATGATTTTCATAATTTATCAGGGTATTTAAATTATTACTACTTGTATTACTATTTGCATTATAACTACTTGTAGAATTATAAACAGCAGTTGTTTCTATTAAACAAAGTTATAAAGATTATATTAATAATAGTACTAGTTATATTCTCGACTTACTAGTTTGAGTTTGCACAAAATCAGTAGCATTATGAACATATTTACTGGCCATCAGCTCATACTCATAGACATCAACGGTATTACATGTGATACTCCACTCGTGGGCGTAAAAGTCAACAAAACTTTTATACTGTGTTTCAATCCATTCATTAGTCTTCATCAACTCAAACACCCGGTTATCTCTCATTATGGTAATAAACGGGAAACTTTTATCCGAATCGATCCTGGGCATATCCTGGATCTCGAAGCAATTTTGCAAAAGCACCGGGTAGATTTGCCTGAACTCAGCACCGGGTACTCTTCCGCTGTATTGGCCGCAAAAATACATATAACCATTGTTTGTAAGAAAATATGTCATGTATTGCGAACAACAAACTGTCTTGATGCTAAACATGTTCGTGAGCATGGTCGGCTGCGATAGATTAGGCATTTTATCATGACCAAGCCGATAGTTACTGTTGTGGCCCCAACTGTACACAAAACCGCCCATGGTAATCGCAAACGACGACGAGACGTAACAGTAAACGGCACTAATTTTATCATTATTAAAAAAGTTTACCAAAACAGGACGTGTGTTAACGTGGGCCCTGTTATGACCCAATTGACCATGCCTGTTGGCACCCCAGCCCAACACCTGGCCGTAACGATTGACAACTAGCGCGTGACCCGACCCGGCGCTCACATCTGTAGCCAAAAAATACGGTATTTGTTTGGGTTTATAATATTTGCGCCCTTTTTTCGCCGACTGTATATCTTTGCGACCCAACTGTCCGCACCGGTTGTCGCCCCAACTGAACACCGATGCGCTGCCAGTGATGCCCAAAACAAAGCTCCAGCCGTTGACAAACCGCTGTATACCCCGATTGCACAGCTCTGGTATAGGCTGGGGGTCCGGCACCGGCTGGTTGTGGCCCAACCCTAATGATCCCCAATAGTTATCGCCGCAGCCGTACACCCGGTCGTCGGCCGTGACGTATATAATGTTATTGCCGTCAAAATTAGTGCCGTTTTCGGGCACTTCTTTAAACACATGCATGTATTTAATGCACGTTTTACTTGTTTCCGGTATTTTGTCGCAAATTTTTAGCTTTTTTAGTAACGAAGACATTGTTTACGCGTTAAACACACTCTATATAGACGTCAATTAATTACTTTTAATTAATTATTTAAATATTATTGTCAACAAAAACATAAAATCAATTGAAACAAACGATTGTGATCAGTGATTAGTTTATTTATCAAGGCACATTGGCACAATTAGATTTCAACATGGTATAACTACTGCGAGTCATGCAAAATATCAATTAGTAGGTAATAATACATGACTAAAACCGTATACTTTATAACAATTTATTAATAGACACGTCAATACATACTATAAAACTAAAGCATTTAACATTATATGAATTTCTCTGTGCAAGAAACACATCTTTGAATGCTTTCATAGCACTCATGCTTCACTGCAATACTATTAAAGGAGGCAATGCTTAACCGCAATACTAGCAAAGCGTGGCTATGAGTTATACTGAAGCATTACAGTTAAGCATTGCCTCCTTTGATAGTATTGCAGTGAAGCATGAGTGCTATGCATTCAAAGATGTGTTTCTTGCACAGAGAAATTCATATGTGTTTGAAATAACAATTATATTTGTTCTGCAATACTTTCAACACTTCATTATATTAATCAGTAATTAATAATCACCATTGGTTTCGTAGACTTAATATAATGTACATTAAGATTATTTATGACTTACACAAGCGTTTATATCATAATGATAATGAAGAATTGTAGGTATCATAAACGAGATAGCTCTATTAAATTGATTATAATTGACAATATAAAAATGATAACACATTCACGTTTGTTAAGAAACAATTAATTTATTTTCTGATTTCAAGTATTTAGTATAATATAATGTGGATTATAGCTGGGAATGTACAATAGTTTAAAATTGACCATAATGATAATGCTGTACAGATATATTATGAAGTTAAAGGTTTTTAAACATATATTTACATTAATTTATTTGTTATAGTTACTGTACATAGTGTGACCAACCGTACACTTTTGAAGTGTACAGTACACTATTTGAGACTTCTGTACACTAATTTCAGACTGTACACTATTGTACACTTTTCGAAAATATTTCTATCAAGAGCTATATAAGTATAAAAACTGTCAGATATATAAAAAGCTCATTATTTAATCACACAATATTTGATATAAACATACAAACATATATTAGTCAAACATTATTTATGTCGGAATCATTTAATTAGAATCAGTTCAATTGATACAAATCTAATAATTAGATTTATATTAACTGATAATAAATAATATGTAACTAATATAATGAGATTTGTATCAATTGATCATAAATAATGTGTACACTATTTGTACACTATTTAACCCTCAATTTTATCAGTTTGTACACTATTGTCTAAAACTAAGTTGGTCACACTAACTGTACATAATAATATTATTTATTCAAACAAATTATATCAATTAAATAAATTTTTGATCAAAGTATTTTTTATACAAAAATCATTTATATTATAATATCCTGTAAAGACATTTCCAACAAATTTCTAATACTAATGATATGGCGGCAGACGTTATGCCAAAAGCATAAATGTTAAAAAATAGATAACTATCGGTAAGTCTTATGGTGTAAACGGTGTCTGAGTTGTGATGGATATTAATTTTGTAGTAAATGTCCGAACGGACCAACTCTTCAGTTTTGGCAATGATTTTATTAACTCTCGTTCGCCATAATAGTAGACCTGACTCTGCCATTAGGGTTAATCTAAATGATAATTAACCTTATTAAAAACATATAAAAAATTAACCATGCTCACTTTTGTTTCAATTGGTGTTTAATCCAGGGATCGACGCTTCGGCGGATGAAAACTCCACCGACGGCGAGCATTGAGTTGTCGCGTGCCTTATGGAGAGGTAGTGTGGGGTTAAGGGCGACGATATGATGAATGACGGGCCAATATTTTGCCAGTAAAAATGCCGATTACTGCCGAACTTCATGTCATAGAGACGTGTGAACATCATCAACAAAAACCACAAACATGCTTATAAATATCAATTTATATTCAACAACTATATCAGATGATGACCAAGATATATAATGTGTGATGAGTTTGCATTAGGATTGACAAAATAAAAGTTGTTATACATAGAAATTCTGGATTAAAATGTATTGATAGTATAGAATAGTTGACAGCATAGAGATTATTTTAACATTAAATCTATAGAGGGTTTATTTGGGTTTTGGCATTTTGTTTACAACTAGTGCTCACTATTATTTGTTAAAAGAAATAAAAGCAAATACACACAAAATAAAATAAAAATAATACAATTTCCATGAACACTTTTGGTAACATAGAAAAGTTATCATTGTATTATATCGACATGAATACAATAATGGCAATTAGAAAATTAAAAGAATAAATGTTAAAAAACATAAACTCTAAGTATTTGGTTAATATTAATTGAAGTGATTTATAAAATCGTATTAATATTTATGGTTTGAATTCTGTTATTACGGGAAAACCTGTCGACAAGTGATCGCCTCAACCAAAGCCATAATCGGCTGTCAATTACGGCGACAATCAATTG